GCAAAGTAGCCCTGGAAACAGAAGATAAGAAAGGTAAATCATTACCTAATTATTTTAATAGTTTTTCTTTATGTGTCTCAAAATCTCAACATCACCTTTTTTCTGTTGCCATAGTAACACTTCAAACCCAGCTGCGAGAGCCATATAATTCATTGTTACTCAGTCCAATCTGATGCTGGTCTGCACATGGATTGGCATGCAATGGGTACTCAGTGAATAGCATAGTCCGAGCAGCCATCTAGAGATCACAATTAATGTTTTTATGATCAAGAAAGGTCACTGTGAAATTTACTTTGTTTCCTCCTGTACATTTCAGAAACATTTTGAAAGCCCTGCACATCACATGAGATGCAGCTCGTTAGTGAAAAGACATTAGACACAGCATCAGTGTGGAACAAATGTTGTTTCTTCACTGAACACACTCAGTCAGGCGGCATGGTTTAAGCTGCAGGATGTACTTACAGTGAAGTTTGCACCACCACTACATAGCAAGGAATTCATTGCTACATAGTGACACTGACCTCCACAGTGTCTTCTGAAGGGGTTCGACACCTCCAAGCACAGCCGTTGCCGGCATAAAAGAAATGTGGAGATTGCCACTGAAGGTGAAATCCTGGTCCCATGCAGCACCTGAACAAAGGGGCTTTGCTCTGTGGATAAACACTGGAATTGGAAGGATGAAGTTGTCCCAGCCTTCCCCCAATTCAAAATGTGTGTGAAGGTCACAGGCACAGCCAATCAAAAAGCAGTTGAGCATAAGGAGTCCAGGCTGTTTGTGGACTCACTGACCAAAGCCTCATTTTTATCCTTGCCCTTCCACAAAGCCACTCCCATCATGGGCTCTACTGCAGGGTATGGCTCCATGGGGTACAGGTGGCCGTGACCTCTCTGTGGCCTGGCTCTCTTTGTGCAGCAGGTACAGTGGCAGCTCGACTGCATTTGGTGCCCTCTGCATCAGAAGGATTTCACTTGAAAACTCCTCTCAAAACAAGCTACAAATTGTCAGAGCACATGCATTATTTTACAGCTTCAGAAATAAGGAACTAGTGCTTTTTGGCAGGTGATGAAAAATCCTCTTTTCTGAATTTACTGTCATAAGAAGGATCAGATTATATAAGAAATCCCTAAATTGCATTTAGTGGAGGCATTCTATTGTCACAGAAGGGGTGCAGAGAGCCGTTAAATCCCAGACGACGTGCAAAGCTCAAAAGTACTTCGTTTGGCTGTTGTTGAATCCTTTGAATTGATATTGTTGACCCCACATAGCTTGGGTATTGTATATCATTGATCTAATGATTTTGAGTGTGTGTGTCCTAAATAGGTTTTTTTATTTTGCACAAGTACATATGAAGAGTAAAGAAATGCAGTCACTCTGCAGAGCGTATTCTCATACACTTAGCTATGCCGATGGAATAGTTAGGTGGGCATATAGCAAGGATTTGGGTATCACTGGTTGGGAACTTTTTGGGGGGTGAAGTGGGAATGCTGCATCATCAAAACCAAAAGATTTTGCAGGAATATACCACTTTGACACAACTTTCATCAGGAAAGTTTTCTCAGATCCAGGATGGAATTTTTGGTCAAAACCACACACCCACCTCCTCTCCCCTCCCAAATACCCTGGGGTCTCACCTGGGATGTGAGAGAATCATGTCTCCAGTTGCTGCCATACTTCAGACCACAGATTGGAAATCTGGCTTTTCCTTATCCCAGGTGAGTGCCCTAAAATCCAGGGTGTGGGCTATTCTTTCTGTGTCTCCTGTTGGAGCTATGTAAAAATAGCTACCTCGAGACACTGTCTATATAGTCCAGTGGTTATGACACTAACCTGGCTTGAGAGAGCTAGGTTCTAGTCCCTCTTCCAAAGAATATTTATACAAAGTAGAACAGCTCCAACAGAAGACATTGAGAGAGATGCACCCCAGAATACACCAGAGCCCGGTGGGTAGGGCCCTGATGTGGGAGACCCAGGTTTAAGTCCCAACTCTGAACTAGGCAGAGTAGAGACTTGAGTCTGTCTCTCCCACATCACATGTGAGTGCCCTTAGCACTGCACTATTGGCTATTCAGGATGCTCTTTGTTTTTACATGGAAAAACTTCACAGGGCTCAGTTTCCTCCTGAAATGGAACAGGAAACATTTTGAAATCCAACATTTGGTTGGATGGGACAAGTTTCCCTTCCAGTTCTAGACTCTGGTAATAGGTGCATTAGTAGATGAGGTATCAGCAGTTAGATATTCAATAAAGGGTGTATTAATACTACAGCAAACCTTCTGAAAGACACGTGTTGGGATAAACAGCAATAAGAAGAAAAGAAGCAAAACAAAGACAGCCTGAAGCGGTGCTACCTGTGTAGAATTCAAAGATAGGGTCAATGGAGAACATTATTTACCTACTGCTGTGCAACTGGAGCATAAAAGCTTTGTTAGAGACATAAAATAAGATTGGTTTGAAGTGAAAGGTTAAGTAAGATGATGGGAAATTTAGCTTGTGTCTCCTTAAGTATAATTCTAACAACAATTGCCATATCAGATTGCAAGCACTAAGCTGGTTCATGCTTGCAAAGGTTATTCACTAAAGCCTTGCTGTCCCCCAAAGGGAATTGATTCATTGGTCCCAGCTGGGTGTTGGCTTTGTTTTATAATTTTGCTATAATGAACATTTTTTTATATCAACATTGCTCTTAAAAATCATTTCCACTCAAAGCTAGAACAGGTATCCAGTGTAATCCGAGATGCACATGGAAATACAAGTGAATAGAACAGCAAAATCCATTCACTTAAGGACCTTACTGAAGAATAGGGTTGCTACAGGGCGCTCCCTTGGCATGTGTGTTATGGCTGAACAAGCTAAATAGCTGAGTTTAAGTAACAAATCCTATGGAGCTGTGTCAGTACAATCTGTGAAGAATCTTGAATTTCATGTATCTTTCGGCCATAAGTCATTTACAGTTTTGGGAGTATTCTTCCAAATTGTTTGAGACCTAGAAATTTGGGATTCCTATTCCCATACTATTTTCAGTGCTGTATTGTAGTCAGCAGTTCATATTTGTAGGATCTCTATATGAACTATTAGCAAACTGAACTAGAAGTCATCACTTGGGCTGTTCTTGGAGGGTGTTTTGAATTTCTGATATTATACTGATATTTGTTTTGAACTGAAGATAATTGCTGATCAGGCCAGTTGAGACTCACTACTCAGTACCAGGTGTCTATATGGTTTTTTAAAAATATGATAATAAGTGAATATATAACGTAACTGGGATAGTTTTAGAAAAATAGGGTAATAAGTGAATATAT